CGAAGTTACGGAATAAGTTAATTAAAAAACGGAAACGTAACATAGGATACGAAATAAAGTACTTCAAAGATAGTAAAGGTATTGAAAAGCCAATTTTTTTCTTCTATATTGTTGCGTATCTGCTTGTTTGTTAATTTCCCATAGAAATTCTTTCCGAGAAACTTCAGCGATACAAGTCTTTCTTAATTAAAACTAGTTTATTCTTTCTCGATACAACTTTGCAATACACAGAATTTCCACAGTCACTTTAAACTTGACTACTTTTATGAACACACGCTATAAATCACAATGATTCACACACTTTACTTATGGCTTGACTCAATTATCTCTATCTTCAATCTCTCCATCTATCTCATTCTGCTTTATTTGCCGGGCTTATATACTAAAAAAAGAGGGCGTCTGGAACAGACTAGAGTTGCCAGGACAATTCAAGATCCTTCAAGAATCTCATGACGTGTTACCAGGGTCACGTGACTTCCGCTGTCGTAACAATATGTTACATAAGCTAAAAACATAAATCTAGTATAAACGATTTTATCATTACCCTTTAAAGTTAGCTTTTTCTACAAATATCTGTTGTGCCTAAGTACAGGGTCAAACAGGAATTACTAGCCAGTAGTAGATGAACATTAGATGACTGTAACATATAGGTGCTCAGTGGTTTGTGCACTATACAATTGGTGTCTTTAGGGAACTAACTCCTATATTATTTATGAAATGAAAGAGTAAAAAAATAAATAAATCAATACACGTAATGTTATTACACACATTCATAGAATAATTATTTTAAAAGACGCGAAGATTTATTTAAAGTGATGTTTAGACGTATATGTTTTATCTGAAAAGGCTGCTTTTCTACTGTTCGCGCTTAGTGGGGTTTGTTTCTTAAGTTTAAGCATATATCTGTGAATTGCTATGCATTATATATAGAGATAATTTAGTTGATAGAAATTATAAATGCTCACTACATTCTCAAACAAATCTTCACGACAATCTCCATCTGCAGCTTAACATTTTACATCTCAAACTAATGCGATTAATTAGTCAAGAGCTACAGTAACTCATCACAAACCGTATCAGCTAGCTACTAGTTATGTTTATTATACTTTCATTACGGTGTATAAAGTTAGCTACTAAATCAAGTTAACGTTTGTCCAAAGTTGAACACTTAAAAACAAAAGCCAGCAAATAAGATAAATAAGAAATTGGAATTTTAAAAACCTGCAAACCTGTTTCTTTACTTTTTACGATCTCTATTTACATGTTTTTAAATTCCCAATTTTTATTTATCTTGTAGTACTTTATTCCTTCATTTCGATGTAATTTCCTGAATATTTTTTCCTTAAAAATTAAGGAGAGAGAGAGAGATGGCGAGTTTGTGGATGATGGAATCCTTCTCATCTGAGCAGCGTGAGTTATAGTAACTTACACTAAAGTACTGTGATAGTATTAGTTTTAAAAAAGTTAGTAACAGTACCTCTTTCTTGCTGGATAAATAACTGGTATTTGGAAATTAAACTGCCTAAAATTTAGAATATTTTCATAATTATTGCTAACTTATTGTTATTCGTATTTAACATTAACTGACTAAGTTTTAACTTTTATCCTTAGTCACAAGTTAGTTAGAGCTCTGTTCCAGGTCTTAGCCAAAATTTAAATTAATAAATATTACTAGTATTGGCATAACTCTATGAGACACTCAGTTTACACTAGGACTCAAGCCTCTAACAGACAACTCTTGTCACTTCGCTATGTGGATTTTAATTTACTTATGTAATGCTTTTTTTCCAGTTTTTGCTGTAACTATTAAAAGAAATGGCTATATAAATTGCAAAAGTACTTGTAATATATAGAATTGACATTGTAAAAATAAAGAGAGCTAAACTGGCAATATCATATTGGTCTAAATTGATTTTATTGTGGTCTGCTATATTGTTAATAAAGTGATAAATCTTAGTATAAGTTTATACAAATTTGTATTAAAGTAGAAAATGAAGTATAAACACAATGCAAATATTAATATTGAATTAGCACAAAGGTTATCAATATGGCATAATAGTGTTCTTTTGAATACTATATATATTTACATAAATAGGCTAGTACTGAATTATGTTAAGTTACAGTACAATGTTTATATGCATTTTTGTTTACATTTAATTTCACAAGTTATAAAATAATCAGCTGATAAATGTGCTATATACATCTAAAAGTTTGTAAAGCAGCACAATAAACTTTGGATTTTGTACAGATATTTTTGTACTAACAATTATTATGCTGTGAATGTCTTTTACAAGCTGTCAAAGCATGATTATAATTAATTATACATGTCATTAGATATTATATTAGGCCTATTATATTTTTAACACTACCTTCTTAATTTAGTCCATTACCAATTTTTGAGAATCAGAAGAGAGTAAATTAATATTATTTCAACCACACTATATACATTGCCATTGACGAGTTTTGCTTGATCCAGAGTTTTTCAGGCTGGCTGGGATACAACGATCATAGTAGTAGTTGGAATGCTATTTATATAGGCCATTTGTTATGATAACAATTCTTATGGTGTGAACACTATTTGCAAGCTAGAAAAGCATAATTATAATTAATCATACATGTCATGAGACATTATGTTAGGCCTATTATATTTTTTAATGCTACATTCTTACTCTAGTCATTGGATATGAAGAACATAGTGTGGTTGAAATACTATTAGTTTACACTCTTCTGATTCTTAAAAATCCCTAAGAGACTAGAAGAAGAATGTAGTGTTGAAAATGTCTTATTACAAGTATAATTAATTATTTTATACTCCATCCAATTTGAAACTACTAATGTTTAAACAAAATTAAGTTAGAAAGCTTTTTTCCCCACTTTTTCACCTGCAGGTTTTATATATTGTTGTTTAGTAATATGATGTTTTCATATTTTGATATAGCACATAATTAAACACTTTATCAAACTGTAAGTATGATTATCTTCAGGTGTACAATCAAATGTATTCAACTAAACCATAGAAAACTCCATTCAGAACAACTACTTTGAAAACAGTAATATATATATTCCAAGGCTAATAGTACATTATTGAGAAGTTTATCATTTGTTGTCATCAGGAGTCTCTCAAAAGAACTTTCTATTGCATGACATACTTTGATAACACTTGCTGATATTTCTATTAAAACACCTGTATGTTTTCTTTGTTGTATAAATGACAAGTTTCTAGGATTTTCATTTGTCAAGGCCTCTAAACAATCTATACAATGCACTCTTTCTTTTGTGTCATTTTACTATACAATCAGCCATGTATCATATGGTTGCTTCTTTTAGGGAGAAAGAGGTTTTAAATTTGAAACATATTCATAATTATGATCATCCTGTATAGGCTCACATACTTCAAGATCATACCTACTTATCGCACGCATGTCTACCATATCTACAGAACCAGTAGGAAGTGCCATGTGACTTTTTGTGAAACGTAAAGTTCTTTGTTTTATCCTGGACAATGCAGTTACCTGAGGGGTATTTTATATGCAGATGTGAACTGTCAAACAGTAGGTTAGTTATTACAAGTATATGTTGACCTAACAGCAGCAAAAATAAAATAGTTCAAAATGATCATAGCTTAATTTATGTCAAACAATACTTCAATGAGGCTAAAAATGATGGCATTAAAGTTTTGTATAATTTATGCACAGATTTGGTTGCAGTTAGAAACCCAGTAAATTGTGTTTTATATCAAGTTGCATATATTTTTTGCCCGATGATGTCTGTTAATTGAAAAATATAATTTTCTGTTTCTACTATAAAAGGTTTCCAAAATGATTCATCAGAAATTCTAAGTGGACCCCTGTAATTTTTAGTCAGTGGATTTCTGGAGTTGGCCAAATCAAAGAGACTATAAAATGTTCTTATAAATTTAATTGTAGGCTCACTTCCCTTAAACTTAGAAGAGTTCAAGTCTTTGTTGCAAAATTTTATTGCATTTGTCATACTTGAACTTAAAAGTTTGTGCTACAAAGTAACTTTTAGTTTTTTGCTTCTGTCATTAAATGTGCACTGACCTTACTCTATTTTCTAGGTGTAAGTCTTCTTGTCTTTGCAGTTGATGAATATCAATAATGAACTGCCACTTTATATATTCACCATCTTCACGTTTTAAAATTTTCTCGTGTGTACACATTTTTCAAATGTGATATATATATATATACATATATATAAAGTACAACATAAACTTTGCATTTGTCATTGCTATGGTGGAAGAACCATGGCTACAAGTTTTCTGGTGACATATCGGCACCCTGTTTTTTGAACATGGAGAAGTCCCAACTTAGACTATTGCAAAGAAAAGTGCCATGGTTGTATTTTCAACATCTGACAGTATTTATAGGCATATTCTCACCAATATTACTTGTTCTTGCCTTGTCAAACTATTAATAAAGAAATAGCCAACAGATGCCTTCCAGTTGTTGTTTAGTTTAGAGAAACTATCATAAATACCAAATAGAATGCTAATAATAGGAGTTATATCATCTTCTGTATCTGCACCTACATCAACATAACCAAGACATTTCTTTCTATCCCACTCAACATTTTTATATGATCGTTTCATCTAGCATTAAAGCATAAATAACTTTACTGGTTCCTTCTTTTCCACTTTTTTGTCACTTTTTATATTGCATTGAATGCTCCTTGTGAAAACTAGGTTCCACATTAATGCTTTGACACCATTTTCAAATAACATATGAATGTGGTTGGGCAAAATGGAAAGTGTACCATATAAAATTGTAGGCTGTGATGGAATAAAGCTGCAGTCTCAAGACAAAAAAAAACACATTGAAAGTCGTATGCAAATTTAAATGCTGAAATAGATTGAGTTGACAACTATCATATTACAATTAAACTAAAAATCCTGAGCTTAAAAATGGAAGTCATAGGTGCTCAAAAGTCAAAGTTCATCTTAGTTACGTAATGTTGCTGCTATTAAACCAAAAGTTACCATGTCTAATAATAAACAGTTATTGACTGGTTAGCAAGGCAACACATTTTCTGATATGGTACATTACCTATACTCACAGACATAGCTATTCTCGTTCACTGCTGCCCTGTATATGCAAACATTTTTTTGCATGCAACTAGCCTAGAGCTCCCACGTACCCCAAATTTCAAAAAAGCAAATTTTGAAGGGATCTGTTGAGAATTGGGCAGCTGAGTTATTTGTAGACACTTATCAGATGTGGAAAATTTTTAAACATTCAATGTAAACATATTCCAAATAGAAAGAAAAGGGAAGCTACAAGTAAAAACTAGGTTTGCTCACAAAGAGTTTAAGAAATAAAATTAAAGAAAAGCATCATAAAGTTAAGATATTTAAATTGACCGATATGACAGGAGACTTAGAAGATTATAGAAGATCAACAAAGTTGGTGAAATGGGAAATTATGACATCAAAAAGAATGTATGAGAAAAAGTTGTCTGA